GATGGTGTCCGCGGCGCCCCCACGCACCCAGACGACAGACTTCGGGGCGCCGATGCCAAGCCCCCGGAGCGGAAGTCCTCGTGGAGGTGGGGGGAGGGGGGAGGGGGGAGGGGGGAGGGGGGAGGGGATAGGAAGGAGAGGGGAAGGGAACAGGGAGGAGGGGGAAGGGAGGGGGCGAGGGGAGAGGATGGAGGGGAGGAGTGGGGAAGGGAACAAGGAGGAGGGGAGGAGAAGGGAAGGGGGAGGGGGAAAGGGAGAGGGGAAGGAGGAAGGTGAGAGGAAAGAGGTGGAGGGAGGAGGGTGGATGGGGATAGGGGAGAGGAAGAGGGGGGAGGGGAGAGGGGAGAAGACGGTTCAGGACCTGCTGTGTCCTTATCCGGGGAGGGGGGGTAGGGGTAGGGGAGAGGGGGGGGTGAGATCAAGACTAGTCCGCCATGTAAACTATACTTTCCCGACTAACCAAAATGACTGTCACGATACCATGGTACCAACAACCAAACCCAACCTCCTTGATAGAAACTACCACGCCTACCACACTTCTCATACGTACCATACCTAAAAAAAAAAGGAAAAGAAAAATAACAAAAAACTAAAAAATAAAAATAATAATAAATAACAATAAATAATAATAAAACCAGTCTAGAATGCCAATACTTGATGATTCCAGCCGTGTTTTCCAATTGAGGATTCCAACCGTAGATTCCATCCGTAGATTCCAACCGTAGATTCCATCCGTAGATTCCAACCATAGATTCCATCCGTAGATTCCATCCGTAGATTCCAACCGTAGATTCCAACCGTAGATTCCAACCGTAGATTCCAACCGTAGATTTCAAACCGTAGATTCCAACCTTAGATTCCAACCGTAGATTCCAACCGTAGATTCCAACCGTAGATTCCAACCGTAGATTCCAACCGTAGATTCCAACCGTAGATTCCAACCGTAGATTCCAGCCGTAGATTCCAGCCGTAGATTCCAGCCGTAGATTCCAGCCGTAGATTCCAACCGTAGATTCCAACCGTAGATTCCATCCGTAGATTCCATCCGTAGATTCCAACCGTAGATTCCAACCGTAGATTCCAACCTTAGATTCCAACCGTAGACTCCAACCGCAGATTCCAACCGCAGATTCCAACCGCAGATTCCAACCGTAGATTCCAACCGTAGATTCCAACCGCAGATTCCAACCGTAGATTCCAACCACAGATTCCAACCGTAGATTCCATCCGTAGATCCCAACGGTAGATTCCAACCGTAGATTCCAACCGCAGATTCCAACCGTAGATTCCAACCGTAGATTCCAACCGCAGATTCCAACCGCAGATTCCAACCGCAGATTCCAACCGTAGATTCCAACCGTAGATTCCAACCGTAGATTCCAACCTAACGATTCCCGTCCTGCTTTCTGCCCTTACGCTGGATGACCTCAGAAGCTGTTGCCAAGATCCCGGCCATTTTTTTTTTTTTTAAGTGTAGTTGGGGTTGGTTGGGAATGAGGGAAGGGAGGGGGGGGTGATGGGGGGAGGGGAAGGAGGGGAAGGAGGTAATGGGGGGAGGGGAAGGAGGTAATGGGGATGATTGAGAAAACTATCATTAAAAAAAAATTAGATTTAGAAAAGTTATTTAAAGGTAGAAGACACACAAGAACGTCTTAACGAAGGAGGAAGATGCCAGGATGCCTTGAGAAGGAGCTCGGGGAGGAAGTGACGTCAGGAACCTCGGAGGTGATTGGGGAGGGGGAGAAGGGGGAGGGGGGGGGAGGAGAGGGGAAGGGAAAGGAGGGGGAGGAGGTAGGAGGAGAGGGGAGGGAAGGACGTGACGTCAGGAACGTCGGAGGTGATTGGGGGGAGGGGGGGGAGGGGGAGAGGGGGAGGGAAAGGAGGTAGGAGGGAAGGGGAGGAGGTAGGAGGTAGGGGGGGGGGGACGAAAGGGAAGGAGGTAGGAGGTAGGGGGGGAGTGGGAGGGAAGGGGAGGAGGTAGGAGGTAGGGGGAGGAGGCAGGAGGGAGGAGGGGGAGTGGGAGGGAAGGGGAGGTAGCAAATAACAATAATAATAATAATAATAATAATAATAATAATAATAATAATAATAATAATAATAATAATAATAATAATAATAATAATAATAATAATAATAATAATAATAATAATAATAATAATAATAATAATAATAATAATAATAATAATAATAATAATAATAATAATAATAATAATAATAATAATAATAATAATAATAATAATAATAATAATAATAATAATAATAATAATAATAATAATAATAATAATAATAATAATAATAATAATAATAATAATAATAATAATAATAATAATAATAATAATAATAATAATAATAATAATAATAATAATAATAATAATAATAATAATAATAATAATAATAATAATAATAATAATAATAATAATAATAATAATAATAATAATAATAATAATAATAATAATAATAATAATAATAATAATAATAATAATAATAATAATAATAATAATAATAATAATAATAATAATAATAATAATAATAATAATAATAATAATAATAATAATAATAATAATAATAATAATAATAATAATAATAATAATAATAATAATAATAATAATAATAATAATAATAATAATAATAATAATAATAATAATAATAATAATAATAATAATAATAATAATAATAATAATAATAATAATAATAATAATAATAATAATAATAATAATAATAATAATAATAATAATAATAATAATAATAATAATAATAATAATAATAATAATAATAATAATAATAATAATAATAATAATAATAATAATAATAATAATAATAATAATAATAATAATAATAATAATAATAATAATAATAATAATAATAATAATAATAATAATAATAATAATAATAATAATAATAATAATAATAATAATAATAATAATAATAATAATAATAATAATAATAATAATAATAATAATAATAATAATAATAATAATAATAATAATAATAATAATAATAATAATAATAATAATAATAATAATAATAATAATAATAATAATAATAATAATAATAATAATAATAATAATAATAATAATAATAATAATAATAATAATAATAATAATAATAATAATAATAATAATAATAATAATAATAATAATAATAATAATAATAATAATCATAATTAATACTAATATATAAATATTACTAATAATTCATAATAACAATAATAATAATAATAATAATTAAAAATAATTTGTAATAATAATTATAATAATTTATAATAATAATAACATTTCATGATAATAATAATATTACTATTATTATTATTCATTTAGACATTTTATTATTATTTATTTAGACAGCCGTTTCCTTCAACAAGACACTATTTCAAGTTGTTATTGCTTTTCTCTAACTTTTTTCTTTTAAATGTTTTCAACTTAACTGTCGTTGTGTTGCTTATTGCATTTCCGTTTAAGTCTTTAAGTCTTTTTTCGTCCTCTGGGTAGTAAGCTCAACATAAAATTCTTGATAATATCATTGACGATGTTCATAACAAGACATATAACATAATAAAACGAATAGTAAATGCAACAATAGCAACAACAATGGCAAAAGCAACAAGAACAAAAGCAATAACGATAGCAATAGTAACAACAACAATAGCAATAGCAGCAACAATAACAATATCAGCAGCAACAATAGCAATAGTAATAAGAACAATAGCAACAAAAATATCACCAGCAGCAACAATAATTGCAATAGCAACACCAGCAGCAATAAATACGAAATAACTAACCAACAAAAGTAAAAATTATCAACCGAGCAACTTCCCCCAAGCTCACTTGCTAACCCAAGCTTGGTCGAACGCGTTTTGGCGAGCGCCTTCTTGAACCGATTATTGTTTCGATTTTGCTCTTCGAAAAACATCTATTCCGGCAAATCTTGCTCCGAAGCGCAAGCCCCGAGGCCATAAATCCCTGGCGAAGAACTGCTCTACAGAAGGCTTCCAACCAAGCTGAAAGTCACAAATCTTGGGTTGAGGTTGCTCGCCAAAATGTGGGCTTTGTACTCTCGGATCGTCAGTGAAAATGGGAGAGATAGGGCGGGTAAAAAAAAAGGATTTATGCCCGTTGTGAAGGAGACGAGTAATGTGGTTTGATTTGCTGAGCAATCTTTCTCTGTCTCTGTCTGTCTGTCTGTCTATTTGTCTGTCTGTCTCTGTCTCTCTCTCTCTCTTTCCCACTATTCCTCTCTCTCTCTCTGTCTTTGTCTGGCTCTCTCTCTCTTTCTCTCTCTCTCTTTCCCTCTATTCCTCTCTAGCTCTGTCTCTCTCTCTTTCTCTTTCTCTCTCTCTCACTCTTTCCCTCTATTCTTCTCTCTTTCTCTCATTCCCTTCTTATTTGCAAGTCCCTCTCATCTGCCTCTCTTCCATCATCCACTTCCTTTCCTCTCCGTTGCTCTTCATTTATCGCTCTCTATATCTACCCCTCTCTCTCATTAACCCTCTGTTCCCCTCCCTTTGGTAACTATCCCTCGCTCTTTCCCTTCCCTCCTTCTCCCTTCTTCTTTCTATTTATTTTCTTCCTCCTCCTTCTATCCCTCTTTCTCTTGCCATTACTCCTACTGTCTTCTTTCCTTGCTTCTTCCTCTATCCCTTCTCTGTTCATCCCGGCTCCTCCCTCCATCTCTACCTATCTCTCCACCTCCCTCCATCCCTCCTTTCAATTCTCCATCTCGCTCTATCCTTCCTCCCTCCATCTTTCCACCTCCCTCTATCCCTCCTTCCAATTCTTCATCACACTCTATCCCTCCTCCCTCCATCTCTCCACCTCCCTCTATCCCTCCTCCTTCCAATTCTTCATCTCACTCTAACCCTCCTCCTTCCATCTCTCCCTCTCCCTTAAAACACGCATTTCTCCCACTCCAAATCAACACCGAGGCTTCCTCTTCTCTCTCCCCAACTTAAGCCTCCCTCTCTCTACATCTCCATCTCATCCGCTTCTTAATGTATCCGCACAGCAGGCACTACCCTCCCCCCCCTCCCACGACCACTACCCTTATTATGCATATCGTACGCTCACTGGCACTCTCTGGCACCTAGTACATTTCCCCTCTTCTCACGTCTGTTCCTTTTTATCTTTCTCTCCTTATAGTTCCTCTGTAGTTTCTGGCACTGTGGAGGAATATATTAAAGTCCCAATCGTGGCCCTCAACATAGGCCTATAACTATAGTATGTGTATATGAGTATATATCTATTTACTTTTAACTATGTAGGCCTATTTTTAAATTTTCTTTACTCACCGGATTTGCTTGTTACTTTATCCTGTATGACTGATGACCCGTGACTCACCTGCAAAAGAAAAAAAAAACATTTATTAAATCATTAAAAAAAAAAAATTAATTGTGTAAAAGTATGCTACAGATATTACACTAACAAAAACAATATAATAAATACACTGGGAATTAAGTCAACATCTCCTAAATTGCCAAACAAACCGCCTTATCCTTCCAAATGCCCAGATAAAAACTTCAGACATTAGTAAAGGAGAAAATACAGACACGAGATTTATAAGAAAAAAAAACGTATCGGAAACTTCTGGCGATTAGAACAGCCTGAACTGCAGCGGGATTTTGCTCTTTAAAACCATCGAGGAAATACGATGGAGTTGGATCAGCAGGTATTTGATTTGCTCTTTTCTCTCTTCGTGAAATATATATATATATATATATATATATATATATATATATATATATATATATATATATATATATATATATATATATATATATATATATATATATATTTTTTTTTTTTTTTTTTTTTTTTTTTTTTTTTTTAAAGCGTTTTTCTTTCTTTTTCTTGAATTCGTTGTTTTTCTGCCTTATTTTCCTTTCCTCTATTTTAAATTCCCTGTCTCTTTCTCTATTTCTTTCTTACTCTTTCTTTCTCTCCCTCTATTCTCTCTCTCTCTCTCTCTCTCTCTCTCTCTCTCTCTCTCTCTCTCTCCTCTCTCTCTCTCTCTCTCTCTCTCTCTCTCTCTCTCTTTCTCTCCCTCTGTTTTAAATTCCCTGTCCCTTTCTCTATTTCTTTCTTACTCTTTCTTTCTCTCCCTCTATCTCCTCTCTCTCTCTCTCTCTCTCTCTCTCATCTCTCCTCTCTCATCTCTCTCTCTCTCTTTCTTTTTCTCTTCCTTTCTCTCTCTCTCTCTCTCTCTCTTTCTCTCTCTCTCACTCTCTCTCTCTCTCTCTTCTCTCTCTCTTTCTTTTTCTCTTCCTCTCTCTCTCTCTCTCATCTCTCTCTCTCATCTCTCTCTCTCTCTCATCTCTCTTCTCTCTCTCTCTCTCTCTCTCTCTCTCTCTCCTTCTTTTTCTCTTCCTTTCTCTCTCTCTCTCTCTCTCTCTCTCTCTCTCTTTCTTTTTCTCTTCCCCTCTCTCTCTCTCTCTCTCTCTCTCTCTCTCTCTCTCTCTCTCTCTCTCTCTCTCTCTCTCTCTCTCTCTTTCTCTTCCTATCTCTCTCTCTCTCTCTTTCTTGCTCGCTCGCAATCTCCTTACGCTTCTCTCTCTTCTTCTTTTCCACTCTTTATCTCTTCCTACATCTTCCCTTCCACACATCCCTCCTCCCCCTCCCTCTCCCTCCCTCCCACCCACCTCCCCAACTCCCCTTCACTCCTACTCCCACTTCCCCTACTCCCTCCCACCCCCCTCTCCCCCTTTTCTCCATCCCCTCCTTCCCCAACTCCCTTTCCCTACCCCTCCCTCTCTCCCCCTTTCACACTCTCTCCCCAACACCGCTTTGCTACCTACCCTCGCTCCCACCCTCCCACCCCTCTCCCTCTCCCCCTCCCCCCTCTCTCCATCCCCCATCCCTCTCCTTCCCAACCCCTCTTTCCTCCCCCTCCCCGCTCTCTCCCCCTCCCTCTCCCCCCTCCCAACCCCCCTCTCCAACCCTCCCTCTCCTCCCTCCCCCCCCTTCCCCAACCCCCATTCACCCACGACACGCCCCCGAGGGTTAGCTTGCGGTCGCATCATAAAATTGATATCAAAGATCCACCTGCTATCATCCCAACTCGATCACGCGTTTAATTCGCCCCAGTCCGCGCCCAACGCAGCCCCACGAGCGCCTACGTGTTGGGGGAGGGAAGGGAGGGAGGGAGGAAGGGAGGGAGGGAGGAGAATGGGGGATGGGGAGGGAGGAAGGAGGGAGGAGAATGGGGGAGGGAGAGGAAGGAAAGGGAGGGAGGGAAGGGAGGAGGAAGGAGGGAGGGAGGGAAGGGAGGGAGGGAGAGAGGGAGGGAGGGAGGGAGAATGGGGGATGGGGAGGGAGGAGGAAGGAAAGGGAGGGAGGGAGGGAAGGGAGGGAGGAAGGAAGGGAGGGAGGAAGGATGGAAGGAAGGAAGGAGGGAGGAAGGAAGAGAGAAAGGAAGACAGGAAGGAGGAAAGGAGAAAGAAATAGGTAAAGGAAGAACGAAAAAATAGGGAATGAAAAGAAAGAAACTAAGGATGCAAGGAAGAAAGAAAAGATGGAGAAGGAAAGACCGAAAGAAAGAATTGAACGAGGGAATGAGAGAGAAAGAAGAAAAGGAAGAGAGATAGAGAGAAGAAAATTGGTTTACGAGTTATTGGAGGAGAAGGGAGGATGGAGAAGAAGAAAGAAATACTGGAAGAAGTAAATGCGAAAAAATAAGAGAATGGGGTGAAGACGAAAGGAGGAAATAAATGAGAAAAAATGGAAAGAAAGAAAGAGGGGAAGAAATTAAGAAAGAAGGTGAGAATGATTAAATGAGAGAGTGAGAGAGAGAGAGAGAGAGAGAGAGAGAGAGAGAGAGAGAGAGAGAGAGAGAGAGAGAGAGAGAGAGAGAGAGAGACAGACAGAGAGAGAGAGAAGAGAAGAGAAAGTACGAAAGAGAGAAAAAAACACACAAACAAGTTAAAAGAAAACAGGTACGAAAAAAATAAAGAAAATCACAAGACTATAAAAAAGAGACACAAAAAAAGAAGATTGAAAAGATGAACAAAAGAATTTTTCGCGAAATGCTCATACTTTCCTGATGGCAATAGAAAAAAAAGAAAAAACACATGATAAGAATCACAAGTAAAACAGAGACAACAGTCCCACGCGGCACGGAAGAAAATAAACAGACAATAAAGGAAAATACAGAGAAAAAGGAAGGGAAAGTGAGAGAGAGAGAGAGAAAAAAAAAAAGTGTTCCCCTCTTCCGATAGGCCTTACAAAAGGGAGATAAAGAAAATCAGAGTGAGCCTAACGCCTTCTCCCCCACCCCCCCACCCCCACACCCCCATTCCTTCCTTCTTAACCCCCCCTCATCACCCCCCCCCCTTTCTCCTCATCACACCTTCCCTCTGTTCCCCTCGTTTCTCTCAACACCCCCCCCCTTTCTCTTCCCTCTCCTTCTCCTCCTTTCTTCTTCCAACTCTCATTTTCGTCTTTCAGTTCTAACTCTTCATCTTCCATTTCCTCCATATTTCCTCTCTCCCTCTTCTTCCTCTTCCTCTCCCTTCCTTCCCTTTCCCTCCCTTCCCACTCCTCCTCCTCCTTCTTCTTCTTTTTCTTCTTTTCTCCTCCTCTTCCTCCTCCTCTCACCTCTACCTCTTCCCCTCCCTACTCTCTTCTCTCTCCCCTCCTCTCCCTTCCCACTCCTCCACTCCCCCCTTTCCTCTCCTCTTCGTTTCTGCCCCTTCCTCCCTGCCCCCCCTCCTCCCCCCATGTCTTCCCCCCCCCTCGGGGTCTCTACACAACCACAGCTGACGAGTCGATATTGGGATCCGATTTTGATCATAGTCACGTAGTATCTGTGTGTTTTTTTGTTTTTTTTCTCTCTATGTCTCTTCTTTTTTCCTGTTTCTCTCTGCCCTCTCTCTCTCTCTCTCTCTCAGAGAGAGAGAGAGACAGAGAGGGGGGAGAGGGAGAAGGAGAGGGAGAGGGATAGAGAGAGAGAGAGAGAGAGAGAGAGAGAGAGAGAGAGAGACGAAAGTCAGAGAAAAATTGAGATGAGAGACATTGAGAAATCAAGACATTGTAAGACAAAGAAAAAGTTATATCTAAGGAAAAAGAGATAGAGACAGAGAAAGGAGAGAGACAGCTAGAAATAACAATAAATAAAGAGATAAAGTGCAATAGAGAATACGAAAGAGAAAGAAAAAGTCATGAAGGCAATGCTCTCCCTTTCGGTTCTTCGTTAAAAACCCCCGCCTGCGACTTTTAAATTAAACAAGAATAAAACCACCATTATTTACTTCACAATCAACGTGCTTGCTTAATTACGCCCATTATCAAATCGCGGACAAAATTGCTATCTGGTGGACATCAACAACAAAATACAAAAGAGACATTGTAGATTTTCCTTCCTTTTAAGTGGCTAGGTTAAATTTCAGCTGCTATTATTTTCATCAAGTTATAATTGCGTTTCTTTATCGCGTCTCGACAAAATCACACTTCGTTAAAGATGTTTCGTACTTTAGCAATTTGATAAGATAACAAATTCGTGCAACAATTGCTTCAGGATCATTGTTCAAACAACACAAAATAACACATTTACATCTTTATTTAAAAACAAAACACAAGAGCGACCTCCGCTTACGATATATAAGTTCTTACGTCATTGCAAATCTCTGTGGCGCGGATTCCGTCATAGTATGTTATTGTGAATACTGTTCATGTCACTGTACACGTATATCTTAGTATATATTTTGTTTATCACTGTATACGTTTTTACTATTGTCATTTTATGTCACTGTATATACATGGATATCGCTATAAATGTATTTCCTTTACGTCAATGCATATTTACATATATCGTTTATTGCGGTATAAATACTTTCCGTGACGTCACACTGTACGTCACTATAAATAAACTGCTGCTGCATATCACAGCACAAACATTACAGATCAGTGAAACATCATTAAACAAATAAATCCCAATAAGCGAAAAGACGTCTCTAAAAATCCTCCCCACCCCCCACCCCCCAAAAAAATCGAACATCTTCATCATTTCAATTAATATAAGAGAAAAAAAAAAAAAAGTTCCCGGTGCAACTTCATTACGAAAGCACAGAAGAGACACGTTAACTATTTGCATGGACGCATTCTGAATCCCGGGAACCCGACAAAGACCCCAGAACATCTTCGATCCGCGTTTCGGATTCGTTTCAGTCCCGACTAGAACCGCGTGTCGGATCATTTCGGCAGCGGGGAGATTTTGGGTACGAGTCGTGTGTGTGTTTGTTTGGGTATGCTTGTTTTTGTTTTTTATGTTTGTCGTGTGTTTCTGGCAGCGAGAGAGAGAGAGAGAGAGAGTGAGAGAGAGAGAGAGAGAGAGAGAGAGAGAGAGA